GGGTGGAAAAATTGGCACAGACTGACATATATTTATAGGGAAGAAGGTTTTCAGAGAACAAGAAATTTGCAAGTTCCTAGGTTTTAACAGCCTTTTGCCTCTTAAATAGGAGGCAGTTAATTTGTTTAGGGATAAAAATTAATGGTTAAGAAGTACCCAGGCTGTATTACACTGTTGTGAACACTTAATTTGTCAGCCTTCTAAATATAGTCATAAAAAATGTCTTTGAACAAATGTCAATGGGGAAAAGCCACAACCATGGCTCTGGAGAGAACCTTAAGAGGAAATTGAAAGACTTTGTTTTATACCATGCTTGAAGACAATTAAGTGGTATAACCTGCTTAAGCTTCTATCTGTCCTCTTTCTGTACAGAAAGCAAATCCTCTTTGTATATAGCACTCATATGATTATAGTTTTCATAATGGTTTCCTCTTAGCATCTTATGGTCAAAGAACTGGTTTCAAAGAGAGTATATTGCAATTCTCTTCAGCCAAGAATACAACTATGGTTGGGTTTATTAGTCACTGCATCAGGGCTACACGGGCATAAGATGACATTATGGGGTGTTTTGGGAAGAGTGTTGGATCTGTCTTAGAATTGGGGCTTCTGTTGGATACTTTAGGGAGGATCTAAGGAAGCAGGGACTCATTCTGTAGTGAGTGCTGTCAAAAGGAAGGGCATTTCTGTAATTGCGTATCTCATTAAATCTTACCGGGAGAGCAAACTAGATTGAGGAAAAAGCTGTAACTGATAAAGAAGTTGTCATTCATTGAGTGTAAGAGAGGGATATTTGGGGATATTTGATTTCGTGTGGATTGCACAGTGACCTAATTTTTGTGTCACTTTATCATAGTCTCAGAGTGACTTTGTTTGACATAGCTATTCTGTGAGTTTAGATCCCACGGGAGAACATAGGTCTGATTGTGGAGCATCAGACCAGCTTGAAATCACATTAAGTCTAGCTATGAATGTTAGATCAGTTTTGGACTTTAGGGACTGCTTAATTTTCTTTGTGTGTGTGTGTGTGTGTGTGTGTGTGTGTGTAATTTCATGTACTATGTGTATAATTTTCTTTATATATATGTGTGTGTGTGTGTGTGTGTAATTTCATGTACTATGTGTATAATTTTCTTTATATATATATGTGTGTGTATGTGTGTGTATACACACACAGTACATATATGTGTGTATATATGTGTGTGTGTATATATGTATATTTACACATTTATATCTTAGTTTAACTAGTTTTTAATGAGATCTTATCCTTTCCTTGCTTTGGCAAGTCCAGTATTACCATATATTGGGAAGAGTTAAATTCTCTCACGATGTATTTTAACAGTATATCGAGTCTTCAGGATATACTTTTTCAGCTGTATCAGTAGCATAAAATGTACCTCCATTTGTAAAACTTGTTATATTTCCTGGGAATGAGCAGAAATAACATATTATACTTACACTGATCGTGGTAGGAAGCAGGTGGTGATGAAGGCAGATAGGAAGGGTATTTTCAGAAATATTTAAAGGATAGAGGGGACAGAACTCAATGTCAGAATGTATTTAGGGAACCAAAAGAAAGAAGGCTGACCCCTAAGTTTCTAGCTGACAGTTTGAGTAGGAAGTGAAGTTGCTGCCCAAAATGGGGAGGAGGGGATTAGTGGTAAGCTGGCAGGGGAGTAACAAATCTTAAACAAGACTCCACACAGTAGCATGAATCTGGTTGGGGTGAGGCTCATTGCTTCTAATCAATCTTGTAGGTGTCTAGTTTCTAACAGAATAATAATTTATTGTGAAACTGCCCAAAGAACCAAGACCTTAAATTCTTTTGTCAGCACATAAGCAAAGCTCTTGCTGTACGCAAATCTGTGTAAGTGACAAGTTTACAAACAGGTTGTTTGGCCTGGGTGGGAACATGACAAGGGAAGCTGGCCTGGGTATTGTGGTGATATTGTTACCAAGGTATGAAATCTATACTGTAAGGTTTTATGTGCCAAGTATAAAGAAACACAAAGCTAACCTCAAAACCATGTCCTGGATAGCCATGTTAAAATGTTGAGTGACAAGGATGCCAAAGTAGGTTTCATATCATGTCAGCACCTAGCACACAAGCTGGTGCATAGTAGGTCTTCAGTGCATATTGTGAAGGTCAATCTAGGCTTAATAGAAGAGTATCCTATGAATTATTATTTACGTCTCCTGTGAATGTGGAGAAGGGATGAGGCTCTCTCTAGCAGGCACTGGCCAGTCTTGGTTCAAAAATATACATCAAGTTATTATGGAACTGATCTAGGAGTTTTAAATAGAAATATGAAGGAAAGGAGAAGAAGAGATAATGAAAATTTATCTGTAACCGCACAAAAACAAAAGACAGGTGTCCTTTGCCTATTTTCATTTTGATATTCTGCACCCATGTAATGAGGCAAAATACAAAAGATTTAAAAGGCAGCTCTCTTGGTTAATATGTCAACTGTGCAGGGACTACATTGATCAAGGAAATCTGACATATTAAGTATTTCTTGTTTTATTTTTTCCCCAGTATCTTTTTCTCTTTCTATTGGGAAAGGCTTTTCTCCAGCTGACTTCTCTCTGATCTTAAAAGAAAATCACCTTTTTCTTGCTGAGGTTCCTTTTTTTAATTGTAGTGTTTTTGGATCAGAACATACAATATAATTTTTTATCATAGGTAAAATGAGTAAGAGCTTTTCAGTGGGAGAGTTGCTTTCTCTGTAAAGTTAAAGCAAAATCATAACTGTTTATTTTTTGCTCATTAATACATGCACATGCTATATGGTTCTATTTTATTAAATTCATACATATTTTGAAAATATGTGACACTTTCCCAGATGATTACACTATGAAAAATTATTTAGATAAACCTACATAGGTGAAAAAATCTCTAAATGGTGATGTTTGGGCTGGACTTCAAACTACTGGTGTGGACGCAGCATTAAAGCCTGTGACCCATGCCCTAGTTCTCTTGGATAGAGACCCAATTATACCTTCTCTTTTTAGGCCCTTTATATGTCTGATCTGTGACTGACTTGTTTGTGTGCCTTTGGAAGTCTTTAAGTTCTCCAGTAATCAGGATTTAAACAACATCCTGATAATAATAAACATATGTGTATTAATAGGTTTTCCTCAGGACTTCTCCTTCCGTATTTTGGTTATTTTTGTTTTAAGTATTCACAGAATTTAAGGGTTGTATCCTATCATTATAATATTAAGAATGAGACTATTACACAGAATGAGTGAAAAGTGGATTCTTTTTTAGTTAGAAGATATCTTAGAGAAATTCTTAAATTGTAACTTTTATTTTATACTAGAGTCCTGATGCACAAAATTTGTGCATGGGAGGGGTGTCCCTCAGCCTGCACCCTCTCCCTGCACCCTCTCCAGTCTGGGCCTCTTGAGGGATATCCGACTGTCTGACTGCCAGGTAGGATTGGGCCTAAACGGGCAGTCGGACATCCCTCTCACAATCCAGGACTGCTGGCTCCTAACTGTTCACCTGCCTGCCTTCCTGATTGCCCCTAACTGCTTCTGCCTACCAGTCTGATCACCCCCTAACCACTCCTCTGCCAGCCTGGTTGATGTCTAACTGCTCCCCTGCCAGCCTGTTTGCCCTTAACTGCCCTCCCCTGCAGGCCTGTTCCCCCCAACTGCTCTCCCCTGCAGGCCTGAGTCCCCTCCCTCGCAACTTCCCTCCTCTGCCGGCCTGGTCACCCCCAACTGCCCTCCCTTGCAGGCCTGATCCCTTCCAACTGCCCTCCCCTGCTGGCCATCTTGTGGTGGCCATCTTGTGTCCACATGGGAGCAGCCATCTTGTGTGTTGGAGCGATGGTCAACTTGCATATTATTCTTTTATTAGATAGGATGCCAAAAAGTTGAGATTAAATTGGTGGCTTCTGAATCTCACAAAGGAAAAATTATTTTTTAAACTTATAATTATGCTTGTTCAATCAAAATATATTTTCAACATATAATTTTGGATCTTTAATGAACATTAACTCAGTAAATCAATTGACATAGTATAGTTTTTATGTTTTTCTTAATAAAAATTGAGCAGAAGACTGTGTGATGAACACATCGTTTTAACTACTTAATATCCTTTCCCGTTTAAATAGATATAGAAAAGGGTATCTACTTAAACTAATTATCTTAATCCACATTCTTTAAGGAAAAAATGCTGAGGTATGCTTCTTTGAGCTTTCAAAACTCTCTTCTTCCTTTTTTGTGGTGCTTCATTAATTGAGTAAATGATCCTGTCACTGAATATAATTTGGCCAGTTATGTGAAGTCGTGGTGATGGTTCTTTGATTGGGACTGAAATCTATAATTAGAAGGAGGAAAATAGTTTTATTTATATGACTATTATTTTGCGATTTAATTATCTCTTATTTAAAAATTAAATTAGTTAATGGACTTTGGAACTAAGGATACTTTAGAATTCATCTGTTGGCAACCACTTCACGTTACTGATAATGATGTTGAGACCCAGCTTGCAGAGAAACTTTCCAGGAAGACACTTTGGATCAGAACAAAACCTGATCTCTCTTGTTTCTCTGTCCAGGGATTTTCACTTTGTGACGCATGTCATTCTCAATACCAACCTAGACGCTGCTAAAAGCAAAGGGAGGGCCGAGACCAGTTTGGCTCAATGGACAGAGCGTCGGCTTGGGGACTGAAGGGTCCCGGGTTCGATTCTGGTCAAGGGCTTGTACCTTGGTTGCGGGCATATCCACAGTAGGGAGTGTGCAAGAGGTAGCTGATCAATGACTCTCTCTCATCGATGTTTCTAACTCTCTATCTCTCTCCCTTCCTCTCTGTACAAAATCAATAAAATATATTTAAAAAAAAATAAAAGCAAAGGGAGGGTGGGGAGAGCGCCAGAGAGGGGGGAGCATGGATCCCTTCCAGTTCAAGGGTTCCTTCGATGGGTGTCCAGCATTTGTCCTCCCGTGGTGGGGAAATCATGCTAATAAAACCTCTGTTTGCTTTTCTAGGTGAGAGTTACGTATGTGCATCAAACGAACCATTTCGGAAAGTTGATTACACCAAAAACATTAACCCGAACTGGTCTGTGAACATCAAGGGCGGGACCACCCGAGCCTTGGCCGCTGCCACCTCGGTGAAAAGTGAAGTGAAGGAAAGCAAAGATTTCATCAAACCCAAGCTGGTGACTGTGATTCGAAGCGGAGTGAAGCCCAGGAAAGCCGTGCGGATCCTCCTGAACAAGAAGACCGCACATTCCTTTGAACAAGTCTTAACCGACATCACCGAAGCCATTAAACTAGACTCAGGAGTGGTCAAGAGGCTCTGCACCCTGGACGGAAAGCAGGTACGGTGTTGCTGGCCCCCAGCTCCCCGCCTTACTTTTAAATTCTCCTTGATCCATGGCAGCTACATGCTTGACAATGTGAGCTTTGTATCTGCTAGATATCTTAATTGTTCTACTTGACAGGGTGTGTGTGTGTGTGTGTGTGTGTGTGTGTGTGCGCGCACTCATGCATGCATGCATGCATGTGTATGAATTAGCCTTTATCATGAAAGGTGTAAGCGGCTCACCTGTCTCTTTACACAAATGTCTCAAAATTATATAGAGAGAATTCTATAATTCTTATGGACACTGGAAGGGAAACGTAAACTTGTAAGGGAAAAGTGTCCGTTGAAGAGGCTGCCTACATTAAGTGGGGATGTTCTCTACTGAAGAATAAGAACACCTAGTGACTAGTAGAGTCATCATGGGTTTGGGAATGCCACAGAAGTAAAAAATTAAAGATATTTAGCATTTTTTTTAAGCAAAGCGTTTCCTCCCCTCTCGTGTGTAATATGGAAAATGCATTTAAAGGAAAATATTTTCATGAGAATGTTCATATGAATTTCATACGGAAGAATGGAGGTAATTAATTAGCATTTCTGAAAAAACACACACATAAATTACACAGGGAAATGCATGCCAAATTATGGTAACAATATACCAGGAACTCTAATGGACTAAAAAAAAAAAAAGGGGGCAAATTGCAAGTACGCATGAATAACAGTTACACAAATACCGAGTTTTGCCACAATCAGATTATCATTCCTAAAAAGAAACATGTGGTTTCTGAAGTGTATTTTCCCTAGTTTCAATGAGGTTAAATTGTCTATATTTACATTGTATAAACATAGTTTCCAGTATTCACTTTGTTTCTTCATTTCATTTTGTTTCTTCTCTTGAAAAGAATTTATTTTGAAGTGTTTGGCTCATGTAGTGCTGAAAATGAATAATACTAAACACTGGAGCAAAAATGTCTTCTGGTAGGGGGAAAAATCATTTTCTAAGACCAGATCTAGTTACTATGTTGCTTCCTGAATCATTAACAAAATTTAAAAAATAGTTTCCAAAAACTCCAGTAGAGTTTAATGAAGTTGTGACTTCTCTAACAAATTAATGATTAGAAGGCAGCCTGCCCCAAGACAGGTTCAGATGACTGGAAATAGCCACTTTACAAGCTGATTTATTCTGCAAGTAAGTGACCACAAGGAAAAAGAGAGATTTGATAAGTCAAATAGCTAATTCTTGGTGGGCACATGGAGAATAGGAACTAGAGAGACAGGTATTATATTTAAGATGCCTAATAAAAGAAAAAAGGAAAATTATAAGTATGCCAAATTAGAAAACCTAAGTGGCATATAAATAGTACATGCAGATGAGATTTTAAAAATTGAAACTTATTTGGAAATCTCCAAATGAATGTTTTGTAGGGAAATTTTAAGTGAAATAAAAAAGTTGAATGTCCAATTGAAAAAGAAATCATTGAAAATTTAATAGTTATCTTAAATTTATCTTTGAAAAAAACTCGACTAGAAATATTTATATGGAAAAAATGTTGACTAAAACACAGGCAATCCAAAATTATTAACCTATTAAAAAATAATATACTGCTATGAGGAGGATTTATGACAGCAATGAAAGGATGACTTACTGTTAAGAAACCTGTCAAGCCGAAACTGGTTTGGCTCAGTGGATAGAGTGTCGGCCTGCGGACTGAAAGGTCCCACGTTTGATTCTGGTCAAGGGCGTGTACCTTGGTTGTGGACACATTCCCAGTAGGGGGTGTGCAGGAGGCAGCTGATCAATGATTCTCTCTCATCGATGTTTCTTGCTCTCTATCCCTCTCCCTTCCTTTCTGTAAAAAATAAATAAAGTCTATTTTTTAAAAAAAGAAAGAAACCTGTTAATATACAGGATCTAGAAGATAAAGTTTTTATTGCACACATAACCCCCAAAAATATTCACAAAAGCACTTGACAGAATACAAAATCTGAATTCAATTAGAGATTTAGTAATAAAAATGGAAAATTCCCTAACAAACTAAAAAAATCCTCTCTGAAACCAAAGGTCTGTGTGATTGGTACACAGATGAGATACTGGAAGTATTTCTATGATAATCTGGTAAGGATGCCTGATACCAGCAGTATTCAACATTCTTCTATACATTCTTCCTGATTTTTATTTATAGTTTAATTACAATTTCAATAAGAATCTAAATTATTTTTGGAGGGGCAGGGGGATATACACATGACAAAGTGATTTTAAAAGTTAATCTGGGGGGGAAAAAAAGGCAGGAAAATTTTGGAAATAATGATTAACGGGCTCTCATGCTACCAGATATTAAATCACTTTTCTCATAGTATAACAAAAATAAATTCCAGGTGTTTTAAAAATATTGATGTCAAAATGAAACCAAGAAACTAAAGGAAAAGATGTCAATGGTTAGGTTGACATGGGAATGGATTTTCTAAGCATAAATGTAGTGGGAAGATCACAAAGGAAAAGGTTGGTTAGACAACATAAAAATTAAAACTTTCTAGCTGTTATCAGCAAGGATTATATACTTTTACATTAAATCATAATAGTTTAATATGAAGAAAAAAAAACACCTTAACACTGCCATGGCAAAATGAATTAAACACCAAACCGACAATTTGAAAAGGTAGAATTATAAATACTAAGTATAAGAAAGTTCAATCTCACTAAATAAATATGCATGAAAACAATATGATCTTTTTTTATATTTAAAGTTGACGTGTTTTTGAAAAAGAAAATGTCCATTATATTTTGATATTCAGTTAATTGGCATTCTCAACGAATGATGGAAGTGTAAATTTCATAATCTTTATGGAAAGCAGTTTGTTTTGTACAACTATACAAATGTCCTTTCCATTTGACCTAATAAATGAACTTATCCTAAATAACCTGAGATGCCAACATAATTATGTATGAGAATTCATCCCAGCAATAAGATCAAAATATTGAAAACAATTCAATTTTAAAATCCCTAAAATAGAAAACAGTTAAATAATATCACCATAGAATTCATAGGGGTGGCCTTTAAAAGTTGTTCGGGGTCCATTTAAAGACATGGGGAAATGTTAAGTGAAAAGGGCAGGAAATAAACTCTGTAGTATGGTTTCAATTTTGTGTTAAGAGAGAGAAGTAGAGGAAGAATTTTTTTAAGAACTAATTCAGAAGGAAACACAGTCATAGTTGCCATCAGAAACCTAGTACTTGCGGTTCTGATTTCGACTGCGTCTTCCTCGTGTCTGTTTAAAAGCAAAAACTCAAGCGCTGAGAAAGAAAACAAAGACCATTTCGATCAGATTGTGGAAATTAAAACATTATGAGTTAATCCTTGAAATTTTGGCATGTGGCTATAAAATGTTTCAAGCATCACTTTTGTTACTGTTTAGGTCTAAACATTATTTACCATGTGCAAAGAGAAGAGATATTTAAAAACCTTCAAATAAGATTTCTTGAGAAAAATTAGATTTTGCTTTTCATAGGCACAGTTTTGGATATTGTATTTTCAGAGTGCCAGGTATCCTTCAAAGCTACAGTCTTCTTGGCATTGATTCAACATCTGTACTCTGGATGGACTTGCTATTTAAAACGTCATGTCTGTTGTGTGGTTAATATGTTATAAATATAAAGAGGACATTAAATCTTGCTTTGAAGTAGCATAAGAAATTTGTCTTATGCTTAAGATGAATGCATATCTTTAAATGGGCATTGTTTGTTCTGATTTTACTTTATAAATTGATTTTTTTTAGGGGGCATGTAAAACGAGCTGCTTTCTGAAAATTCTCAAGAAAAGGACAGCTTTGCTTAGGTGAAGAGAGAGGCATGAGAAAAGAAGTAGGATCTGCTGATGAGTTGTTCCTGCAAAAAATTTTAGGCCATCTGCCTCAACTTCTTATGTGCATTCCTACTCAGATTGGTCGTTTTCATCTTAAATTAATCAGATCTTCGACACAAGCAGAGATAAGCAGTTTCTAGGCAGTTCACTATGCAGTCACCAATTCCATTTCTGGTACCCATGTTAAGAGTTTTAAGGGGCCCTGGTTATCTTTTTTATGTGTTTAAAAGCTTTCCCTATTGAAGAGGCAATGGATGGTGTGGCATGTGCTAGTAGCATTTATGCTGTTGACACAACGTCCTTTGAGTCTTTTCTGTTAAAATGGATAATCACGTCTTCCTAGTGGTATTGACTCAGTTTACAAGGCTTGACGTGGTGAGTACAACTAAATCACGTATTCTGTGTCTCTTGTGAAATCAAATCAAATCAAATGTTAGGACTTATCCATTCTAACTCTTGAGTTTGCTCTAGTGTAGAGCAGTGTCTCTCAACTGGGTGTGTTTTTGCTCTTTGGGACAGTCAGTGGAGTTTGGAGTCATGCTTTGATGCCACAACTGGGGATGAGGATTCTACTGGCATGTAATGGGCAGAGGCCAGGATGCTGCTGTCTAGCCTACAGTACACAGGACAGATGACAGACACAACGTAATTCTTGGGGGCCCAAAATGCCAATGGTGCTGAGATTCAGAAAACCAGGTGTAAAATAAGTGAAGTGATTCAGAAGGAAATGACACTTGTTTGAATGTTAACTTTACCAATGAGGCCACATGCTAAACTTTATTTCAGTACTTATCGATTTCCCCATAACCTGTGTGTGCACTTTTCATCTCATTGAGGCAAGTATGTTGGAATATCATGATGTATGGTCTTCGTTGTCCTGGGTTTCCATTTATTTGTCTTGTTGTGTAGGGCTGACATGTAGTTGGGGAGAACAGCTTCATAGGCAATTAAAGATGGTTTTGTATGTATTTAAAGAAAGCCTAAGAAGTGATGATTTTTATGGAGTTTTAAATATTTAATACTTAAAATGATGTGATGAGAATCAAATTTTTTTTTAAATCCACAGCCTATGCATTTATAGATGGGGTGACTAGAAAAAAAGGATCTATCAGTAGAAGTCATGACTATTCTCTTCAATAATTTTTTTACACTTGCAATT